ACGGCACGGCACGGCCCGAAGCATGACAGAAGAAGTCCCAGCAGCATCCAGCATGCCGGAGTGCAACGGGAGCGTATCCCTGGAGAAGGGCCCGCTCCAGGTCATCAGCGTCACTGATGAAATAGCAAAATCCGTCGGGATGGTTCCTTACGCCAATGCAGAAACGAGCCCTGACGCTGCACCTGCAAAAGAAAATCAAGAGGAATATCAAAATTCGTTGGCAGAGGATGTCATACGTGGGGATTTTGATGGAGGGAACCAACGTGAAGGTAAAGTACAAGGCTGCCTTTCTTTGTTTGGAAAGAAAAGCTCTATTTTATGTATAGCCTTATGAATGACAGAATGTACTATGCGTGTCAGTCAAAACCCCTATCCTATGGTGGTTGTAACAATGACCCAGAGTAATTCAGAGTTCAGGGATGAATTTGAGACAGTGGTTGCACAGGATGCAATGAAAAGCATGTGACTAAAGAAGCAATTTTTTGATCTGCTCTGAAAATCTGCTGCCAATCTGCAGCCATTAAAACTTAATTATCGTCATTAACTGCTCCATCAGTCCATTTCTTGCGCTTTGTATTTCCTAAAGAAAAGCGGGAGGAAAGCGATGGGATGCTACAGCAGGGATCAGCTGATACCCAGGACGCGGACACCGACGGCCAGGAATCGGAGGAAGGTAATGGGAAATTCTGGGTGAGGTGAGGCTCCCCAAAGCCCAGCAGTGAGTAGCGTGCACAGACAAGGACGTGCAGGTGGTTCTTGTCTCTCGAACGCGGTCAGACCCTTATGCTCCGGAGAGCAGTGGCTCGTTTCCCATCGGCAGACCTGCCGCACCCCCGAGCGCACGGCTGGCTGGTGTCGGTGTTCCCGAGGTCTGCGCGTCTCTCCGTTCCCACGGGCCATCACAGCACCGGGGGGGCTCGACCAGGAGCTCCCTGACAGCCCGTGGGGCTGGCGAGGCTTTCCTTCCGCTCCGGGCAGGGGTCGAGGCAGCCTCAGCAGGCTATCGGCCAGGGGTGTGCGGCCTCGGAGCCCAGACTCTTCTCCCGCCTGATTCACAGGTGTCTGAATCCCCCAGATCCCAAGTATTTAGCAGAAAACTGTCTGCTGTCCCAAGTGTCTGCTCCTGGGTCTCTCTGCTCGTTCCTGGGTGAACACGGTCAAAACCAGTGGGAGCACGGGGCGGGGGTCAC